AATTTCCTCTCTCTCTCTCTCTGCCCCTTCTTCATTTTGTCCTTGCTTACTTTCCTTCCTTCATCCCTGCTCCTTTTCTTCCTTCCTTCCTTCCTTTGTATTCTTTCTCTTCCTCCTTCCTTTTTTCCTAACATTATAGGTATTAATGTGAGAGATATAATTAGTGAGAGATGATGGCGGCTTAGATTAGACGAGGGTAGTAGTGAAGGAGATGATAGGAAGTCATCTGATTCTGGAAGGAATCTCCAAAGAAATCACTGAGTGGCTTTGCTGACTGAGAAAATGGCACACCAAAGATGGCTTGCAGGTTCTTGACCTAAATAACTGAGAGAATAGCTGTCATTGATTGAGGTGGAAATGCCTTCATTCAGGAGGACCAATTTTGGAGGCAAGTGTCAGGAATTTGGTTTCAGAGATAGGAAGATTCGGATGTCTCTTGGGTCTGTCCAAATGGAGATATCATGTAGAAAGTTGGATGTTTGAGTTTGGAACTCGGGAGAGGAGTCTGGACTAGAGATGTCACTTTGGGAATTGTCTGTAAAGAGAATGCTATGCCCTGTTTTTCAAATTTTAAATAAGGATTGATCACATACCAGTTATTCAGAGTTTTCATGCAAATCAGAGAAGCAATGTCAATGCGTGGCTATTGCATCTTGAGACTGCTGACTCAGATGGTCTCTTGTTACATTTTTTCATAATTTAAGCAACTAAGTAAATCCTATGCCATGAATGGATTGAAGCCCTACTTGCTCGTCCCCCAGTTCAATTTCCTGCCTAAGCTTTTTGCTTCTTGGAACCAGTTAGCTCTACCCATAACTTCTCAAAATCTGGTTCCGGGACCCAGAACTGCCTGCATCAGAATTAAATGGGTGTATTTTAATTTTTTAATAATTTTTTAAGTTTATTTTACTTATTTTTGAGAGAGAGAGAGAGAGAGAGAATGGGAGGGGCAGAGAGAGAGGAAGAGAGAGAGAATCCAGCAGGCTCTGCACCATCAGTGTAAAACTGGATGTGGGACTGGAACCTACGAACCGTGAGATCCTGACCTGAGCTGAAATCAAGAAATCAGACCCTTAACTGACTGAACCACCCAGGCCCCCTAAATGGGTGTATTTTAAAATGTAGAATCCTGCATTCAAATACTAGACCTGTTAAATAATAATATTAGCCCAAGGTCCAAGTATCCGCGTTGTAACAAATACTCATTGTTATTAGTATGCACATAAAGATTTGGCCATTCCTGATAAAGTTTGTAAATATAAAGTATAGTATGTATTTTTTAATTTTTTAAGTGTTTTATATCTTTTTGAGAGAGAGCAGGGGAGGGGCAGAGAGAGAGGGAGACACAGAATCTAAAGCAGGCTCCGGGCTCTCAGCTGTTAGCACAGAGCCCAACACAGGGCTTGAACCCACAAAATGTGAGATTATGGCCTGAGCCGAAGTCGGACACTTAACCAACTCGCCACCCAGGCACTCCTAAAGTATAATCTTTTTATCCTTTTTAAGAATATCCATTTGCAAAAATTTTTATGACAATTAATATCATTTATATAGTTAAACCTGCCCACTCATATTCTAGATTGCATAGATTAGAACAGAAATGATTTCAGTCATAAAGATGTTGGTCTTCAGTTAAGTAACTCAATAGTAAAATCAAATTTAATCCTCTTTTTTCTTGCATAAAGTACAATTTTAGGATACTGCAACTTTGAATAAGATATATTCAAACCAAAAAACCTCAGTTTTAATTTTAGACATTGAATTGCTCTGGTACTTTTAAAAGTTTGCTAAATATTTTTTATTCTCCCCTGTTCTGGACACAGGATAGAATTGTATTGCATTTCATAGTCTCCTTGTGATTTACATAGGCCAGAAAAGGTGTTGAGGCCAGTAAGTATTGTACCTGGGGCCAGAATATTTAATTTCAAGTGTTCCTTCATCTTTCTTGTATCTTCCTTCATAATTGAGATGGAAGCTACCTTGGTTTTGTATTTACCTGAGTTACTATGATTACCAGTGCTCCTCTGCCAATCTGTAATAGATACTTAGCATGAGTGAGAAAAACCTTTGTAATTCTACGCTGCTAAGGTGGAGATTGGTTATTACTGCAGCATAATCAATTTTCTGTAGCAAAACTCAGTTATCTTGGACCAGAGTTATCTTCCATTCAACAGATTGACATTGTGAACTGACCTAAGCTCACTGTCAGGGATTTCTGTCAATATATTAATCTTTGACAATAAAAGATTGGCAGGAACTAAATATATATGTCTCTTCTCTTGCAACTTTGTTACCAAGGAGCTTGTTTAAAAAAACAAACAGAGGGACGCCTGGGTGGCTTAGTCAGTTGAGTGTCTGACTTCGGCTCAGGTCATGATCTCACGGTCCGTGAGTTCGAGCCCCGTGTCGGGCTCTGTGCTGACACCTCAGAGCCTGGAGCCTGCTTCAGATTCTGTGTTTCCCTCTCTCTCTGACCCTCACCCCGTTCATGCTCTGTCTCTCTCTCTCTCAAAAATAAATAAACATTAAAAAAAATTTTTTTAAAAACAAACAGAAAAACCAATCCCCCAAATAAATTACAGACCAATTTGTGCAAACATACAAACTTTTACATTAGTTACAAAATCCATTAAACAGCCCATTCCAAACGTCCGGAGGTAATCTCTGTTCTCTGTCCTTTTCGGTATGCCATGCAGCACCTGTTAAGAAGGGGTGGGTAAAAATTAAATAGAATTCCAAATCTAAAGTGTCAAAGATGTTAGCCTCTTGGCCTTTTACTAGGATTTGTACATGTTGTCCACGGAGTGAGATGATTGCCCAGTATTTCTAGCCAATCAGCATCTTGAAGCCCACCTGTCTCGCCAATGAAAAGCCGTCACATCCTTTGTAAATTACCAACACCCCACTCCGTGTAAAATTTCACAGTGCATTATGTAGAAATCCAAAGCATTTGTTACAGTTGCCCCTAGAGTTCAAGCTGTTCATTAAGAAGCTTGAAATCCTAACCAACCTAGAGAGTGATTCCTTAACTAGAATTCTTCAAATCTTAATCAATTTTTTTCTAGTTTGTAAGTTAAAGGTAAACTAATGTACTTCATATTGTACCTGGTGGAGCGCTTTAAACTAAATTATAGGCACTAACAGAATTAATTACGGATTTTTGCTTATTTACCTTTATGTTCTACTAGGAGTACAAAAAACATAAAACTGACAAAAACTTACATTATTTTACTTCACAAATACAAATGTAATAGTACTTGAGGCTTAAGTTTACTTTAGATGATGTAAAGTTTTTCGTATTTCTATAGTTTTCTTCAGTATTTAATAGATCAATAACTATTTGTACTTACTAAACAGCAACAAAATATTATTGAACTGTTTATATGTTGTGTAGAATTTTTTTTTAACCAAAACAAAAAATAGACTATATCAGCTTGAAATGAAAATCTTGAAACATTGGGATGCAAGTTTAGATTCTGCTGTCCTCTTTCTGCATATTCATGGTCTGGAAAGGATACTAACCTTCCTTAATGTTTTAGTTTCCAAATATTTTGCCAGCTGTGAATGAACTAGGTCAACGAAGGAAAACATTCTTCCTACAGCCTACATGAATATTTTGCTGTTTGAAAAACTGAACTAGGCCATCAATCATTTTGTTAATATTTGTAGATTCTCTCTCACAGAGTTGGAATATAACTACTTGTAAAACTCCATCAGTTAGTATGTTTCCCCAAATAGTTACCTCATTTCAAATTCTGTTAGTTACTGTTACATATAAGTTAATTTCTGAATGCCTTTGAGAGCAAATAAGATTAGAAAGGGAATTAATTTTATCTAAGCTTATAAAATGACTGAAAAATATTCTTAAGAATCTGGAGTTGTGTCTTGAATATTAAAATTTTAGACATTAGATGTAATTTATGATGATATGTTTCAATATTAACATTTTAAAATAAAACTATTTTAAAAATTGCATTCCACTAATAACCCCTATGATTCAAAAAATACTGTTTATAAAGTTACAGATATTAAATTAACTGGTGGTGTTGGGGTGCCTGGGTGGCTCAGTCGGTTAAGCGTCTGACTTTGGCTCAGGTCATGATCTCGCAGTTTGTGAGTTGGAGCCCCATGTCGGGCTCTGTGCTGATAGGTCAGAGCCTGGAACCTGCTTCAGGTTCTGTGTCTCCCCCTCTGTTTGCCCCTCCCCTGCTCATGCTTTGTCTCCAAAAAATAAATATATGTTAAAAATTTTTTTTAATTAATTAATTAATTAACTGGTGGTGTTTCATATGTTTGCCCACGTGACAACATTTTATCTCTAAAATTAATTTATGGCATTTTATAAACAGTAACAATGGTAACAAGAGCACAGTTTGCCTTCATACTTAATTTATGTAAACTTAATTTTGGCTGGACCTGTTTTAATATTTTTATTAATTTTGACTCCTGTGAATTTTGATTTTTGGAAGTCATATATTTCCAAATTTAGAAAGCAGACCTACAGTGAGTTGGATTGGTTATTCCTAGCAAAGTAATTTATTGATATTAGTGATCATATTATTATGTAATAGTTTTTAGGGAATCTAAGAGAATGACTATTTTTATTATAGGAAAGGTGGTTCCAACTGACGGGATTTAAAGTGAAATATTTAATTTTTTTAGACATCTCTTTTTGATGAGGATGTACATTTTCGGTTTAAGATTTTTTTCTGAAAAAAAGTAAAAACATTTTATATGTGTGTTAGTTCAGGAATATTTTTTTAAATTTCAGCTTTATTGACGTATAATTGACATATAAAATTGTAAGAGATTTAAAGTGTACACTGTAGTGATTTGATATACATTGTGAAAGGATTCCCCCATCTAATTAATTAATATATATATCACCGCACATATTTATTTTTTTCTTGTTATAAAAACATTTAAGTTCTACTCTCTTAGCAAAGTTTGTAGAAATTTTTAATGATGACCACATCTTGATTCATTTCTTTTCCTTTCAGGTTATTGATCATTAAAATGGCATTGTAAAGGGATGACTCAGAAATAACAGTAAGTCTTAATTATTTGAAAGACATACTTTAATGTTGTGCTAAAACATATGACAGCATATTTGGCATTTTTTTCCCGTTCTAATTTTGTGGGCTAGTATAGGGCATAGAATGTGAACAGAAACCCCTAGACCTCAAAGTATATTTTTATTTGAAGCCAAAATATTTTTAACTAAACTGTGCTAGTCAATAATTTTTGGATTTGGCAAACTGTAGTACAGTCTTATTTTTGAGAAAAGTCAACAAAGTGTTTCCCTTCTAATTCAATATCCTTATTTTCCCTGAAACAATTTTTCCTTTTGGTGCAAAGGCTTATGAACTTAGTGTTTTTACAGGAACAATAATACATTGTTTCTTTTGCTATGCTGAAAATAATTAATGTTTATGTTGGATTTAAACTTTTGTCAGTCAGAAGATCTACTGACTAAACCAGATGAAATAGATATGATAAGATTTCTTTCTTTATTAGAGTTAGATGATCCCTGTTGGTAATACACTTGTATTTCATGTTTACATATTATCATTGCTCTTTTAAGCCATGAATCTTAATATGTTTCATATTTATAATAAGCTATTTTGATCAGCCATATGTTTTCTTCTGAAATGGACATATATCCTACACAATAGACTAGAAGAATATTTTTTCTAGTGGTTATTCATTAGAATAATTTAAAATATCTGCTCTGGCTAAATTATTAACCAATACTTTAACACAGTATTATTTTAATGCAACAGATTTACTTTCTCTCCTGACATTAAAATATATTTTTCTGTTTGTAACATTTCTACCCAAAGACAGTTGGAAAAAAAATGCACTTAACAAAGATAGCCTCAGTAATAAAACACAGAAAAACAACATTAAATGCAAAACAGTGGGTGAATTTAAATATATGTGTGCACGCACAAATACACACACATAGAAATGAAATGGCTAAATAGTATTATATCATTGCATATCTTATAGATATGTAATTATGTATCATATAAGTATATAATGATATAGAATATATTTAAATACATTATATAAGTACATATAAGTAAATTATATAAGTATATATAAATATTTAAATATATGTGACTATATAGACATATAATTATAAAAGCAATATGTTGTAAAACTCAAAACAGACTCATACTAACCTTTTCCTCCTCTTAGTCTCCATTCCCCTCCCTGAGATAGTCAATGTCAAAGTGTGCTATGTTCCCCTGTACCTCACTCAGGAGAGTTTCTCCAACCTCAGAAAGCACAGATGCATATCTCTTTTGTCAGAAAGAAGTAGTTTTGCTTCTGATATATTTTTTTTATGACCAAATTATCAAGAACATTGCTCTTCACCTTGTCTTTCATAGCTATCCCTTCAGGTTAATATGCATAATATTCCATATTTTGCCACACTACTTGTAATTAAAACAAAAATCTGGATGTTCACCATCCTTTTTTTATGACAGCCATAGATGAGAAAATACCTGTATTGCCATGAATGGCAAATCTCAGTGATGTTTTCATTCCAACTCTGAGAGGCATGAAAATGACTCCAAGGCCTATGTTAGAACAGATATCAAGATTTCTGAAGTGAATAGTAACTCAGTAAACATGAGTTCTTGTCCTGATCTATCTATGATGTGTTGTTATCCATCTCCAATACTATCTGATCCTTATTATAGGATACATGCTGCTCTGATGTAAGGGTTGCATTCTTCAGACACCACAATTGATGAAAAAAAAGAATCACATTATAAGATTACGTGTTTCAGTATAAAGGAATGAGTTAGAGAATGGATTTGCTATTTTACTACCATCAGTGGTTAAAATATTCAGGATTTTCTTTAAGATTAGGTAATATGAAAGAGAGAAAAATAAATTAAGCCATAGACTTTTACAAATGAACATAATTCAAGGAAAATAAACATAGTGAAAACATAGTTGAGGGTAAATAACATTACTTAATGAAAACATTAAGCGATTTTGTTTAGAATGACATTGGTCATTAGAAAGCTATAGGTATGTATAATATAAACTATTATAACATATATATTCATTATTTAAATATAGTACATGTATACTGATATTTATTATATATTTATATATTCTCTATATTATATATCTTCCATACTGATAGATGCATCTGACTTTTGACCATAGAATATTTGTATTTTATAAAATTTAAATCCTAACATGACAGTATGACAAACCTAGACTGAACTTTTAAAAAGGTTTTCAAATTAATAAGTTTTAAGTCTCTGTGTGAGAGTACGGTGTTTGCGTATATATTCATAGCATTGAGCCTACATTTGGAGTTAACACTGTGGATCAGGCAGTTTTAGCCCAGCTGAAGTATGAAGAGAAAATTGACAAGAATGATTTAATTCGGTCTACCAATATTTATTGAACATTTGCTATGAGCTACATAGGCTTCTAAGTGGTGCATTTACATAGATGTAAGTCCCGACAAGCATGGCTCTTACATTCTTGTGGCCATGATGGAGGCAGAGGAAGGGCAGACGTTAAACCAACGATCAAACAGATAAAAAATATCATACTGTTTTGTGATGAATAAAGTTGAGTGGGAGACTTGGGGGAAGGTATCCTCTCTTTGAGGCTGGGGAAGACTTTTCTGAGTTAGTAGCATATGAGAAGAGACTTGCTATGCACTTGTCTAGGAAAGAGCATCCCAGCAGAGGGAAGAACCCAAGTCAAGTTTCTAAGGAGAAAGTATACGGCATAGTAGAGCAATACCCAAGTGTCCAATATGGTGGGGCAAGCCCATGTAAAGTTCTTCTTGGTCATGTTAAGAATATTGGATTTTTTTTCTAAGTCAAATGGGAAGCCATCCATCAGAGGCTATTGATCAGAGATGTGAATTGATTTAGATTTTTAAGAGTTCACTTTGTTGTGTAAAGAATAGCCTGTTGTGTAAAGAATACACTTTGTTGTGTAAAGAAAGGGAAGATCAGTTAAATACTTATGATAGTACTTCAGAAGAGTAGACTTCTTTAGGCTAGGTGCTTTTAAATAGAATGATTTAAATCTGTTGCTTCTTTAGTCTAGTTTCCTGAGAACTGCTTTTTAACAAAGGGTTTATTTGGTACACAAATCAGTGTTGATGGGTTTTTTATTTTGTGTGTGTGTGTGTGTGTGTGTGTGTGTGTGTGTGTGCGCATTTTGTTTTGTTCTTTTCGGTGTTATGTTCTTTTTAGCCTGATGAGTAGTGCTAATTTTAACTTAAGTTTCAAATACTGATTGATATTTATAACATACACCTTTAATGTGGTTACAAAATAAACAAAAACAGACCATTAAGCCAAATGAAGAAATAATATAGATAAAATGTTCCAGTTTTCTGAGCTAGGTCTGATAACCCAATTTATATACTTTAGAAATTTTACCTATCTTGTGTGTAAATGAACTGGATAATTGCAACATAGTCCATATTTTTTCCATTAAAGTAGAAGAAAAAAGTGGAATTTATATTTGTAATCATAGAAGGTGTTAGTAATACTCTGGAACGTAAAGCAACTTCGTGAGTGCTTGTCTTTCAGTAAACATTTACAATTTAATGATAAATACATTTGCATATCTAAGGCCAAATTTGAAATAGTCTGATGTGATGCTGCAATTCCTTCTGGTCTCAGCTAAATTGCATGTGATTAACTAATAAAAGTTGACACTGAACTCATTTTGGATTTTAAATGTAAAACATATGTGGCAAAAGCTGGTTTCACATATGTGAAACACCTCAAAGCTGTATATATCAATATTTATTTAGGTCCGCTTTCATAAGTCTTTGCATAATGATCCTAAAATTAAATTAGTGGCCTTTAGAAAGTTACTATGACAATGTCCAAACAGAATTGAGATCTCACAAATAAAATCCTGAGTTAAGGCCTCTTTGCCATCAACCTAGCACTAAAGTGTCTTCTGAAAGATGTCACCATGAAAAAAAAAAAGAAAGAAAGATATCAACATGGAGAGATGTTTGTTTGGCCTTTCATCTTGCTACCAAATGAATGTACACAGTTCAGCTGATGTCTTAGAAGCTGTTACATTGTGCACGCAGACAAGGGTTCTGCTTTTCTTGCTAACCAGTATAAATTGCTGTTTAATCTCTAGATCTGGCCCTGGAAGAGGTTATGGTCATGAGTACTCATCTGGGAGAGGAAAAGACAGAGTCAGGGTGGGAGAGGGGGACAGAGAGAAGGAAGGCAAGGGCTCAAGAGAACCACAGATGGGAGGAAAGGATCTACCTCTGTGCTGGGGAGTCTCAGACTGTGAACACTGATCTCATGGTGCGGGTAAATCCAGGGGTGAAATAGAACTATTTTTCTTACTACATACATAGTACGTAAATGCAAACTAAGTATAGTATTCTGGATAACCAAAGAAGCCACATTTAAAAAGAAAAGTAAAGGGGTGCCTGGGTGGCTCAGTCGGTGAAGCATCTGACTTAGGCTCAGGTCATGAGCTCATGGTTTGTGAGTTTGAGCCCCGCATTGGGCTCTGTGTTGACATCTCAGAGCCTGGAGCCTGCTTCAGATTCTGTGTCTTCCTCTTTCTCTTTCCCTTCCTTGCTCTCTCTGTGTCTCTGTCTCTCTCTCTCAAAAATAAATAAACATTAAAAAATTTAAGAAATAGTCTAAAAACAGTCTACCTTTTTTAGACTGAATGAAACACCTCTGCTTGGTCTTCAAGTTGGCCCCTTCCCTAGAGATTTTGCCAGTGGTAAAACTTAACGAGTCTTGATTTTTACTACATTTGGTTGCTTAAAACCTTACCAGCTCCCAGTGGATGCAGCTTCACCTGCTGTGAGATGAGAGCCACACCACTGAAACTGTGGTCCATTGGCCAGATCCTTCTGAGAATGGTCTGATACCACTTAGAAAACACAGAAGCTTGAAAATTAAGAGCAAGCATTTAAAAATTTTTATAAAACTTTAACAGTCATTTTGTGCCTGTTGGCTCAATAAAATATGGCTGTGTTAATTTTTTTTTTATTTCTTTAG